ATATAATAATAATAATAATAATAAAAAAAAAAAAAAAAATTTAATAATAATAATAATTATAATAATTGAAATAATTATTGTAAATATAATTATAATTTTATATATATTTAAAAATTATATAGATATTATTAAATTTTATAAATAATATTTAAAAAACTTAAAACTTTCTAAAAATAAATTAATATTTGTAATTATTTATTTTATATATATTTTTTTTTATATATATATTAATACTATTTTTTTTTTTTAAATATATTTTTATTTATATATATCTATTAATTTTTATATAATAATTTTTTTTTTTTTCTTATATTTTATAAAAATTTGATTAGAATTATATTTATTATTTATTGATAATATATTATCATATAAATCAATTTTTTTCTTAAAAAAATTATGATCTATAATAATTGTATATATATATATTTAATAATGGAAAATATTTTTATTTTTTTCACATATTTATTTAAAATTAGATATATAAATATAAAAAATAAAGTTATATTAATATTTTATTTAAACTATTATTTTATATATATTTTTTTTAGATTAAATGATGAATTTATTTTTCTATATATATTTTAATTTGTTTATTATTTAAAAAATTTAAAATTTCAGTCGTAGAATTAATTATTTTAATTACAAATATCTTTTAGCATTTAATCATCTTTTAATTAAGTTATTTTTCTTTATTCTTTATACTTTTCTTTATTCAATTTTTAATCATTGATATGATTTATACAAATGAAGTGTATTTCAATTAATTTTCTTTCATTAAAGAATAAATTTTAATAAAATTCAATAAAATTTTATACTGAAATATTTTATAATACATCGCTTACAAGTTCCTCTAAAAATAAATTAATAATTAAAAAAAATATTAAATAACAAATTTTTTAAAAATATTACTTCTATTAAAAATATATTATTATATTAAAATTTCTCCTCTCATAAATTTAAATTCTTAAGAAAGAGATTAAAATTTTTCAGTCAATTTTACCCCCACAGAATGTTTGAATTCGTTAAATTCTTATTCTTATAAATTTTTCAATTTTAAGTTAATATTTACCAAAAATGACTCTAATTTTTCTGATACAATAATAGGACAAAATGTAGATGATTAAATTAAAAAACTCATTCCACTAACACTTCTGAAGGTTTCTTCCCAACAATCAACTATATATCCAAGCTAATCATTAGTTCTTAATTAATTGAATAAAGGTTCAGATAAATAATTATGTAGTAATTGCATATATACTCTTTATTCTAATGTTTCTATCGATTTCTGAAAATGACAAATGAAACCTATTTTTAATTAATTTTTTTTAATATTATAAATAATACTAGAATTGGTTTCGTCCATATTACAAAATTTCTTTGAAACATGATATTCTAATAGATATAAATTATCAGAATTTAATTTATTGCATTTTATAGTAGGAATTTAAAATAATTATAAAATTTAATTATTTAATCTTAATTATTTCATACATTATTCAACATATTTAACTAAAAAAAATGATTATTCTAATGATATATTACCCATTAAAAGCCTATAATGAAAATAGATAAATAAAATAAAAAAAATATATAAATATATAAATTATTATATATTTATAAATATATATATATATATATATATATATATATATATATATATATGTATTTATATTTATATAAATTTATGTATAATATTTTTTAATATACCATCGCATTCTATAATTCTAAAGCCAACTTTTATTATAATCAATTATATCTTAGAATTTTAATTTTTTTAATATATTAAGTTTTTATTTTAAAGAATATTTTCCGTCAGAAATCATGCAAATTTTAAGTAAATCTTAACACTATTATAAATAAATTACATTAAAATATATAATTGTTAAATATAAAAAAATAATATATATATTATATAAATTATTTAAATAATAAAATATAATAATAATTAAAAATAAAAATTTTAAATTTAATATCTTATATTTAATAATTAATATTTAATATTTAATATTTAATATTTAATATTTAATATTTACTATTTAATATTTAATATTTAATATTTAATATTTAATATTTAATATTTTAATATTTAATATTTAATATTTAATATTTAATATTTTAATATTTAATATTTAATATTTAATATTTAATATTTAATATTTAATATTTAATATTTAATATTTAATTTTTTTAATTTATATTATATATTTTTTAATATATTTTTTCAATTTATGTTTTTTTATTACTATTTTATATGGTGAATCTCTATAAAAATTTTTATAATCATTTTCTAATTTTTCATAATATATTTTAAATATTCTTTCTCCTTATTTTTCAGGATCGTATTTTAAAAAAAGTTTGAAAAACTCTTATAATAAATTATGCATAGAATCACTATATCCATTGAATTTAATTTAAAAAGCAGTATAAGTTTATTCTAATTTAATATTTATATGTGCAGTTTCTGCTTAATACCGTGTTTCATTTATATAATATTATAATAATTCTAACCATAATTCTCCCAATACTTCAGCTTTTACAGATTTTCCTTAACTACAATCATTAGTAAATATTTATAGATTTCCATAAATTTTACAAATTTTAAAAAAATCATCTTGTTTATAATAAAGTTCTGATTCTTAGCTTTAATAAACTAAAATAGGATATTTTTATTCATTTTTAATTTCCAATAAGTCAAAATTTTTAGGAATGAATTTATTTTATAATGGTAATCCTAATTTTTTAGTACTAAAATGGTTTACATATTTTATTTATTATAATTTTTTTATATTATCTGGAATTTAATTAACTTTATATTTAGCTCCGAAATACTGTAGATTTTAAAATTAATTTATTAAAAAATTATTATTATTATTATTATTATTATTATTATTATTATTATTATTTTAATTTTTTCTACAACGTTTATTATTTTACTACATCTTGTTCATCTTCGTCCTATTCATATTGTTGTGTTGATAAAAAAATTAATAAGTTTTCCATATTTAGGCTATTTATTAATTTTTCAATTAAATTTTTATTAAATTTTTTAAATTAGTATTTATTTTTTAAAACATTTCCAATGTCTTTACAATGATGCATTTCATCTGCAATTTTTGTCACATATTCATGCTTAGCTATTTTTTCTAAAAACCTAAAGTTTATTTTATGAGTTTCTTTTATTTCTTCATATATATATTCCCTTGCACCTTCCTTTTTTAAAACTTCTACCATTTAAAAAACTACATGGCATACTTTATCCCAATTATCGAATCCATAAGATGTCAAAGTTATTTAAATACCTATATAACTGAACAACCCCATACAGTTTTCCCCAAAAGATACAATCTCAGATGCATAACCTTCATCTATTAACAAAGAAAGAAGCGAGTTTTCACCTTCATGTCCGAATATATGTTATAGATATTCTTCACTTTTTACCTCTCTTTCTTTCAGGAAATAGTCTACAATCCAACAAAACTCTATCGTATCTTCATCTAAAACAGGGATTATATTTATTAATTTACCCAAGTATTTATCATAGGGTAAAAATGGATGGTCTTAATATATAGGTCTTTATATATTCTTATTAGGAATTTCTTAAAAGTAATCAATTGCCCATTTTTACAATATTTAAATGTCGTCCACTCCATAAATAACTAGATTCATTAAATTTGAACTGTAATATTTTTCATAAAAATCAATTAAATCCTATCTAATTGTGGGCTTTTGTAAAGTTTCTAAACAACCACCTCCATATTGGTTAAAATTGCTGTTTTTTTCAGATAGGGATTTAAATATTTCCCAGTGACGATTACTGTCATCGTTTAAACCCAATTAATGTTCACTTTCGATTGCTTAAATTTCTTTCTCAACGCAAGTTTCATCAAATAATGGTTCAATGAAAAATTAACTAAATCTGTCTAGTGAATTTTATAATTAGTCGTTTTTTATGTCATAATAGTAATTTGTGTTCATCATGTCTGTGTAAGCGTTATCTGATCCACTGTTCTAATTTAAAAATTGAGAAAATTCATTTTGTATAGGATATTTTTTTGTACCCATAAATAACATGTGTTCGCAAAAATGGGCTATGCCTTAACAGGTTCGGGGATCTTCTAATTGACCAATATGAATATCGAGAGAGACGGCAGATTTATCGGTTTCTTTATCACTTATTACGATTACTTTTATACCATTTTTTAGTGTGAAACCTAAATATTCACGGTTGTCGTTTGGACTTTTTTCTATTTTAGTTTCAGTGTTTGGGATCATATTTTTTGTTTTCCTATTGAATTGTTTTGATTTTTTTATAAAAGCTTTTGAGTTTATTTATATTGTTTTTTATTTAAAAGTAATTTTATACTTTAGGTTTTTTTAATATATTTTTAATTTTATTATAAATTATTAAAAATTTATATGTAATATATAAATTAGGAATTTAATTCATTTGATTATATTACTATCTAACATTATTATTTTTTATTAGATCATGGATTATGGCTTTATTTGTTTAATTATACTTTTTTAAAAAAATAAATAAACCAAAAAAAATATAATATAAAGAAATTTAAATATTTTTTTTATGTTAATAATTTATTATTGTTTTTAGATCAGTTAATCATTTTTTTTAAAAAAGGGGCATTAATATATATATATATATATATATATATATATATATATATATATATATATATATATATATTCATTTTCTTTTATATATATAAAAAATAAATATTATAAAAATAAAATTTTAAGCAATAATAAAAAAAAAAAAAATTTAATAATAATATAGCTAACAAAAATAAATTAAAAATTGATAGACAATTTTATATATCTTTATAATAAAAATAAAATGAAAAAAAAAATATATATATGTTTATATTATTATATATTTTTTTATACAATAAATTTACATATAATTAATTGAACATAAATGACTTTTTTTTATTTTGACTATAAATTTAATTTAGAAAATTGAATTTTTTTTTTAAATAGATATAAACAATAATATATATGTATATTTTATATAAGTTTGAGAAAATTTTTTTGGTGTTTTTATTTTATAGTTAATTTGTTATATTTATAGTTTTTTTAAAATTTGTTTCATAAAGAATAAATAGTCATTTTTCTTTTTTTTTTACAGGAAGTTCTTTTTTTATTGTTTGTACAACTTAGTTTAGTTCATAAATTAATTAGTTAATTTTTTATTATTTTTTTTTATTAGCAGGTTTTTTAAACATGAATTAATTTTAAACATATTCATTTATTTAATCAATATTGTTATATTAATATTATTCCGGTTAATTTATTTCACAAATATCTTTTTATTATACTTCAGTTTCTTCATTTTATAAAATAGCTAATTTTGTCATTGTTTTTTGCAAAATTAATAAATTTTATTGAATATTATTTATTAGATGTTGTTTTTTTTTGTTATTAATTTTTTTATTATATAATTAATTATATTAAATTTTTAATTAAAAATAATTTATGTATATATATTAAATTAATCCCCCAAATTTTATTAAAGATTAACTTTAGTATTATTTTATTTTTAATTTAATATACAAATACATTTGGCTCTTAAAATAGAAAAAGAAATAAAAAATTCAAAATCGATAGCTATGATTATTTAGTTATCATAATAAATTACTTTTAAAGAGGTTATTACTGTTTATATAAAATTAATTAACTAAATATATATTTTTAATAAAATAAATAATTTTATTTGAAGAAACCTAACAATATAAAATATTTTTACATTATTATTAATAATTTTTTTTTTATTTTTATTATATAATTTTTAAAGCAAATAAAATTAATACTTATAATATTTTATACACATTAATTTTCAATAAACATAATTAATATATAAAATAAACTGACTTTTTTTCTATATATATAAATAATAAAAATTTATTAATAAATTTATATTTCATATAAAATCAAAAAATAAATAATAAATAAAGTATTGATAAAAATTAAATTTGTACTAATATTTATTTATACTTTATTTATAAAAATATTTTTCACAATAATCAAATAAAATTTTATAAAGCATTAATACTTTATTAATAGGTTTTATTAAGTATTTTAAAATTAAAATTTCGAATAATTGTTAAAGTTGATAATATTATCTTCATTTTTAAATTTTGCTTCTTAAAAAGGTTTTTAGTTAGAAAAAAAAAAAATCATGTAGCTTAATCAGAAATTAATTTTTTACTATTTATATTATTAAATTAATAAAATTTATATTTTTATTTATAAGAAATAAATTATTTTTTAACTTTAATCTCAATCTTTTAAAATGATAAAATATGACCTTTATATTATTTCTAAATTTATTATATTTTTTTTTATAATATTAATTTCATTTAAGTAATTATTAAAATAATAAAACTTTTACAAAAAAAATATTAAGCCTATATAAAAATTTGTAACATTTTCATATTTTTATTAAAAATAATTAATAAAAAAAAATGAAATAGTATTAATTTAGTAAAAATTTGTTTATTTTAAAAATAATAAAATGAAAAAAAATATTAACTATTCAAATATTTTTTATTTGAATTATAATTATTAAATAGTTGAAATTTCATTAATTATTATATATTTAGTTATTTAGATACAAAATTTTAATTTGTATTTTTATTTAAATAATTATTTTAATTTTTCTTGTTAATATTATTTATTATTATGAATTTTTTAGAAAGTAGAAATTTTATTTTTTTATTTTTGTTATAAAATTTATAAAATAAAAAATAAAATATTTTATTAAAATATATGCAGTTATAGTTATATTATTGTGAAGAGCTTATATTTTCATTAAAACAGAATAAATTTAATTTTTTTATTTTCTATAAATATAATTGTAAATCGCATAATATTAAATATTAAATAAATGAATATATAAATACAAAAGGTTTTATTTTTTATATAAATATTATATATTTTATAAATAAAAATATTTATTAAAGTTTCTTTTTTAATATATTAGAAAATAAAAATATTATTTACATATAATAAATATACTCTCTTTTATAAGATACAAAAAAATAATCGTATTATTTAGGATATTTTTATTTGATAAATCGTATTATTTTTTTCTAGAATAAATATATATTATACAAATAATATTAAATATTTGTATAAAATCATTAATTATTCTATTTATCAACATCATAATTTGAAGCAATCCCAGTTAAACCTTATACAGCATATTAAACTTCTTTTTCTTTTTTTAAATAAAAAAAATAAAAATTATAATTTTAAATAAAAAACTATTTTATTTTGTAATTTAATAAATATAAAAGTAATAATAAAATTTACTTTCTTATATATTTAATCCTTAAAATTATCTATTATTATAGTGTTATAAAGTTTAAAAAATACCCATAATTGCAACTTTGTTTTCTTGATTTCTTTAATAAAAAAAAAAATTGTTTTTTATAATTTTTTGTTTTATTTTACATAGAAACAAGTGCCTCTGATTTATCTGCTAAATTTTTTTTTTCTTCTTTACTTAATTCTTCATCCTTTTAAACTAACTCATAATTAATTTATTCGTCTAATTAATTAGTTCCATCTACAAGTAAATAATTTTTAAAAGCATTATTAGAAAGAGCCAATTCTAATTCGAAAGGAGTAATTATTAATTTGAAGAATTTTTTCAAATCAAAAACTGAATTTTTATAGCAAGAAATAACAACAAAGCACTCTATTTCAGGAAAATTATTTAATTTACTTTCAGTAAAATTACCTTTTCATTTAAAAAATTTATATAAATATTATTTATCTTTTTTTATAATTTACTCATATAAAATACATAGTATTTTTTATTTGCGTACTTTAATAAAGACTTAACTTTTTACAGTAATTATTTACTAAATAAAGTGTTTTAGTTTTAAATTAAAATCCCGAAGCATTGAATACTTTTTGATTTTTCGATTAAAGATAATCTTTTAATCAACTAATTATTATTGCTTTATTATAATTCTTAAATATTCTAATTTTCATAGATATAAACCTATTATATATTGAATTTTTCTTTGGAAAATATTATTTTTTCTAATGATTCTGAATTTTTGTTTCCTACAAATAGCAAGCTATATTCTTTATCTTAACTTAAGGGTTTATTAGATGCGAAACCATAAAAAAGCTTATTTTAATCTTATCCTTTATTATCTACTGTGGCAATTATAATTAAACTATTTAAAAATTCATTAAAAACTAAATCATCTATATAAGAGTAATATTGATCTATTATTAACTAATTTTTTTTTTTTTAAAAAAAAATATATATTTGATTTTTTAATTTATAATAAAATAATAATTTACAATCCAATTAATATTGTTTTTTTCTTCAAAAAAAACTTTGAGTTTTTATATAAAAGTGTTTGTATCTATATATATTTTTGGAAAAACATAAAATATTTTCTTTTTTTATTCATCTGATTCACATAAACAGGCTATTCCAAAATGGAAAATGACATCCCATTCAATATGATTAGATCCAACGATATCAACACAACAACTATTTTTTAAGCTATTTATTTATATTTATTTAAATATTTTTTATTTGATATATTTTTACTGATCTGATATAATATATATATTTAAACTATTTATTTAATCTTTTATTCTTTGCTAACATTTTATTGCATCAGGTAAATTTTGAACTGGGAATTATAAAATTATACTATTTATATTTGTTTTTATTTTTAATAATTTCTACTTTCTTATAAAAAATATATTACTTCTTAAAATTATTTTTATTTATATGATCGACTATTGAGTTTATATTATAATATTCATCAAATGTATAATGATCTTTTTATTTAAAATATTATATATTTTCTTCACCATTTATTAACAATTCTTAAAAAAGTGGTTCTTTTTCAGCCATTTAGAATATATTTTTTAATTTTAGATATTGGTTAGATAAAAATATAAATTAATATTAAATAAAATTAATAATATATATTTATAAAATAAAATATATATATAAATATATTTATATATATATTTATATATATATTTATATATGTTTAAAAGATATTAAAATAAATATTCAGATTAAATACAGCATAGTAAATATAAAAAATTAATAAAAAAAAATTATTATTAATTCTTTTATTTTTATATAATCTCAAACAATTAAAGATTTTATAAAGTTTTATTATGAAAAGAACTATTACTTTAATTATTATATATTTATTTTATTTTGGTAATTATTTTTAAAATATAATTATTTGTTTTCATTTTAAAAAGTTTATTAGGACTAATTTTGGTTAGTATTATTGTTTGATCTTTATTTTTACGTAACTTTTAAAGGGTTTAGCTTTTTTTATTTTTTCAAATCATTTTCGATATTCAATTTATTAAAAGTATTTAAAATTTCAATATTTTATTTATATTAAACAAAACTATTACTATTGTTTTAAATATTATCATTTTAACATATATTTGATATATTTAATTTCTAATTGTTTTCAAAGCTAATTTATTAATTTTCTTTATTAATATTTATATTTTAGTTATTATTTTATAATTTGTTTAATTAATAAGCTTTTCTTCCTTATTAACTAATTTAGTTTTTATCGTTATTATATGTTTCCTTATTTCCTATTTAGTTTCTTTTTTGATTTTTTTTAATAATTAATTCTTAATAGTTTTTAGAGTTTTATTAGTTTTCTTTAAATTAATTATTTTTTAATAATGTTTGCACTTTTTTAAAAAATTTATATTTTTTTTTTAATTTATTAATATATAAAAAAAATGAATTATATATAAGAAATATTTACTCTATATATTATAATATATTTATACTAAAATAATTTTTATTGGAAATACTATATTTTTGATAAACTGCTTTTATAAGTTCTGATTATAAATTTTATTATTTTTTATTTTAAGAATTCATTTTAATTTTATTTTTTGTAAATAAAAACAATGATAAAAAATATTAAAATATTAATTTATTTATTTATTTTTTTCAAAAAAAAAATATTTTAAAAATATAAATATTTTTTTTTTTTTTTTAATTAAGTACAGTCAGTCATTCTATATAATTAATAATTTTAATTTTTTTATTATTTTTTTTGATTTATTTATTTATAAAATATAATATTTATCAAAAACAACATTCACAATCAAATGGGCATAAATTTGTATCTCCTCCTTATTAATTTTATTATATTTATATTTTGGATTTTAATAATTAAAAAGTAAACCTTTTCCTATGTTCAACTCATCAATTGTATATATTCTATATCCTTCTTCTGTATATTTATTTCCATTTTCATCTGTTTTATATTTACTTTCTTCTTATTTAATTTATTTTCTACCTATATAAGAAATTATTGATTATTTCGTTTTTTAATTATTAATTTAATATACGCTTTCTTAATCTCTATAATTCATCCTTTTTCTCTTCTTCTTTTATTTTATTTTGGTTTTATGTATTTTTTAAATTTTAAAAAAGATCATCTATTTGCTAAGTGGCCTGTTTAACATTTTTATCTTTTTAAACTTTTAAAATAAAAATTATTAATTATTTATTTAAATTAGAAATATATTTTTTATTATAAAATTTTAATTGAATAAAATAAAAGAAACTTTTTTTGGTTTTATTGATTTTTTGTGATTTTTAAGACATTTTTATATTTTTTTATTTTTGTAAAGAAAAATATATATTTGGAAGAAATTTATTTAAATTAAAATAAATAAATAAAAATATATTTTAAATATAATAAATAATTTAATTATTAAATTTATAATAATAATATTGATATTAATATTAATTAAATATTTATGACCTTTTACTCTTTTTTTTTTTTTTTTTTTTAACGATTTGAAAAATATTTATATATTATTTAATAAAAAAAAACAAATAAATAATAAAATAAAATCAGCAAATTTAAAAAAAAACAAAAAAATATAAACAAAAATATATTAATTAAATAATAAAGAATGAAAAATTATATATGCTAAATACACAAGCATAAATAAATATATATGTGTGTTGATGAAATATGTTTAATTAATTAGGAATGTGTATTACTTTGTCCTTAATGTTTAAATTTTGGTAAACATAAAAACCATTAAATAGAAGAAATTCAAATAGTAATAAGCAATGTATAAAATAAATTAAATGAAAAAAGCGATTAGTACAAATATTTTAATAAATTAATATTATAAAAAATAGAAAATATAAAAAAGAAAGTAAACAATTATTTAGAAAAAAATAAAAACAATTACTTTCCCTACTTGATAATTTAAGTTCTTAATTTCATAAAGAAAAAAGAGAAATAGAAGAAATAATAGAGTCTTAATCTTAGAATGTATTTTAAACGAATTCTAGAATGAAAAATATATAAAAATTAATATATTTACATAAAGATAAAATAAATACAGATAAAACACAAAAATGTATAGAAAAACATATTTAGTTATTAAAAAATTAAGTAAGTGATTTTATAAATGAAAATAATTAAATAAATTCAATTTAAGGTATAATTAATATTTAATCTAATTGTTAGAATCAATTAACTAATTATTATAGATTCAATATTAATATTTAAGAAAATTCTTATTGTTAATTAAATGAGAAATTAATTTTGATGGCTAATTAGAAGTCAATAAGTGCATTAGATATTAATTTATAAAATATTGTGAAGGAATTTAAGTTTATTAAAATTTAGAATAAATTAAACTTAAAAGTTGATAAAAATAAATATAATTAAAATTAATTTTACTACTTTAATATTGGCGAAAATATTATCGAAATAAGAAATATATAGTGTATTTAACAGAGTAAAGTTTTTGTTTTGCCTTTTAATATTGTTTCTTGTGATCTTAATACAAATTGCATGGTTTTTGGATAAAATTAAGGAATCATTACTATTTTTAATTAGAATAATTAGAAAATAATAAAAAATATATTATTATAAACAAAAATTAAAGTTATTTAAATTAAAATTCTTAATATAAATATAGTGGTTGGTAATTTAAAAATTAATTTATATATAAGTATATTTATATTTATTTTTTAATTAAATAAAAAGCAGGTTAAATTTTATTAGCTTAAAAAGGAATATTAAGCATAATAAACATAACTACAGGTTAAATTTTACAAGAAATACATTTAGTTTATAATATTTTTACTTCAATTTTTTACGATATTGAATTTAAGAAAATTTCAAAAAACAAATTTTTGTGCTGTTTAAAAGATGTATGTATAAATTCGAAATTAAGTATAATAAATTTAAAAAATCATAAAGTCTAAGAAATTTAAAATGATAAATTGAAATAATTTTAACTTTTTGGAAAAACACATATATATAATGATTCAGTTATAATTTTACATTTAGGAAATAAAATTTACTTTTATGATGTCTTAAATAATAAAATTATTAAATAAATAATCCTTTAATTAACAAATAAAAGTTAAATTATTGGTGCTTGCTTAGGATTTGATATGAAACTTTCAATAATTTAGTAAAATGGAGATATATCATTTTATAAATGAAAAATAAATAAATTATATAAGCAAATAAATTTTTAATATATATATATATATATATATATATATATATATATATATTTTTTTTTTATTTATATTAAATTTTTTATAAATTATATCAAAAAAAATAAAATAAAATATCATTTATCAAATAATATATCTTACCAATGGTTTAGAAGATGTTCTAAACCTTATTTAAATACAGGTTTGTTTAAATAATCATCCATTCCATTTCTTAGAGCATTTTGTTTATCTTCTTCTCTTACAAAAGCAGTACATGCAACTATAACAGATTAATTCTAACTACAATTATTTTAAAAAAACTGCTTTATTTCTTAAGAAGCTTAATATCCATTTTTAGTAGGCATTTCAATATCCATAAATATAATTTTATAGACTTAACAACAATTATCATTTTTATACTTATATATTACTTTATCTATTGCATCTTACCCATTTGTAGCTGTTTCAGTTACAAATCCATAAGATTCAAGTAATTTGGATAAAGCGTATATATTAAAAATATTATCATCAACTATAAGAATTTAAGGACATTAACATATTTAATTATTGCTATTTTAGTTATTACTAATGACTATACTATCTAATTTAATTGAAAGGCTTTATTTTGTTTTATTATAAGTCATATACCCATCTTATATTTCAGTGTTGGTATGTTTAAGATTTTAAATGGAAGTTTTTTGATAGTCGTAAAAAAGAGACGACTTTTCATTTGCTTTATCAGGTGATAAATTTAGTAAAACATTGAATTATGCAGAAAGATGAGTTTCATATTCATTATATTTTTTATCAAAATTAGTATTGAATTGATACAGATTTATTCTATTGTAATTTGAATTAACATTATTCACATTTTATTATTTAAAAGTATCAATATTTAAATTATCATTGTTATTTATATTATAATTGCTTTTTGCTTAACTTTAATTTTTAGAATTTTAATTAGAATAATTAAATGAATCTTAAACATTACAAGAATCATCACTATTTTCATTTAATTTATTTCCAAATAAACATTATTAAGCCTATCTTAACTAAGGAGAATTTTAAATTACTTGCTATATAGCATCATTTTATATAATTTTTCTTATCCTATCATATATTAATATTGAAAATTTCGATCCTTTACCTTACACAGATTGTACCCTTATACTATTTTAATAAGCTGGTCCTAATCCTTTAGCAATACTGTTTGAAATAGTAAGTCCTAGTCCGCATCCTTATATATTAAGGTTTTTATATTACTCACCTAAATCTATTTTATTAAATATAGTAAAAATATTTTGTATGTTTTATTAAGAAATTCCGATTCCAGTATCTTCGACTGCTAATTCAATAATTTCGTATTCTAAAAGGGGATTATTTTCATAATCAAGTTTTTTTATTTCTTATAGTTAATCTTCTTTATATAATGTAGCTTTTAAATTAATGCAACCTTAATTTGTGAATTTTAAAGCATTAGAAAGGAAATTTAAAATTACTTATCTTATTCGGTTTGGATCTGAGTTGATTATTTTTTAACAGTTTTTGTCATATTGTAAATTAAGTTCTATTTTTTTGTTTTTTTAATATTTTTGTAAATAAACCATTTTTAAACAGGAAGTTAATAATTCTTCTAAATTAAAATCTACAAAAGTAAATATAAATTTTCCACTATCAATTTAAACAAAATCTAAAATATCATTTATTAAATTTAACAATAATTTGTTTGAATTTAATGCTGGTTCTATATATTCATCTATATATTAATTTATATAAACCTACATATTAGTAGAATTACAGGATAAATTGTTATTATTTATATTACTGTTGTTTTCTAATTACCCTTTTTATAATTAGCGACGTATTAAATCTCGGAATTAATTCTAGGCTTAATCGGCTAAACCAAAATCACTTTATATTGATTCTTTTAATTATTCTAACATTGTTATCGAACAATTTAATGGAGTTCGAAGTTCATGAGATAGTGATGCAAATATTTTTATCCGGTAATTGTTCATGTCTTAGATTTTTTTTCGTACATTTCTTACCAAACGGGATCTAGTAAAATAAGTATTAATTATTCAGTTTTATTTTCTTCAGTAATTTCACATATAACCATACTTAGAATTAATAATTTACCTTTATATTCAACTTAAACTTTAATCTTTTTTTTTTTATTGTTATTTTTTTTTTATTTATATTACCATGTCGTTTATATATTAAAAATATCCTAAATTAGGTTTATTTTTAACTTATTAAATAAAACTATTCTTTCTTTAAGCTTAAGAAATTTTAAGATCAAAATTATTATCTTAACTATTCATTTCGGAGTTTCTTCTTTTTAAACAAAAAGTTTTTGGTGTAAGACTTTATTTTTTATGTTATTCGTTATCTTAATTTTATTCAACTTCGAATTATTATGTATTTTCGAAAATAGACAAAATAATATCCTTTACAATCAAGTCTTTTTAAACTATTTCTGTATTTTTAAATTTTATAAAGTTGCTTTCTCTAATTAAATTTTCTTAAAACTTTTAATTGCTTTTTTTCTCATCTACATCGTTTCTAAAAATATTATAATCAAAACTTAATTCTTCCATTATTTCATTTTCATTTATATTTTTACTTTATTCTGAATTTTGAATATTATTACAATTGTTAAAGGCATTATTATATCTGAAATTATTATATATTTCATGCGATATTTTTCTAGATTTTTTTCGTTTATTTTATTGTATATTTTATTAAGATTTACTTTTTTTGAAATAGGTTAAATCTCGATTTTAATTTTCATTTTTTTATTTTTGTTGTTATTGATTACCATTTGTAGCTAAATTTAATAAAATTTCAGAAATTTAATTTGGTTTTTTACATTCTAATATTTTCATAAGTGTTTTATTACTATAAACAACTTTTAATTAGCAATTTATTAAAGCAACTCCTTCAGGCATTACATTGAGAATACCTTGGTAAATTTTTTTAATGTTTTCATTTTTTCGCATTTAAATAAAGTGGTTATTACTGTTAGAATAATTAGTGCTTTTTTCTTATAAAAAAAATAATTTTTGACCTTATAAATTTTACTAACATTATTATTATTATTATTATTATTATTACTATTAATTATTAATATTTTTTTTTTCAAACTATATTAGTTATTTTTAATTTATTAATTGTTTTTTTTGTAAATAATGTCTTATACTTTCGGGTTTCATTTTTTCTTAATATTTATAATTTTTTTCATCCTTTTTTTTATCCATTTTTTGTTAAATATTTTTTTTTTTATTAATTGATAAAGTAATAGCAATTAAACATTAAGTTATTATTTTATCTAAGTTATCTGTGTACTAAAGATTAAAACTTATTAACAAATATAATAAAAAGAATACATAAATAAAAATTTCTATTTATTCTTTTACTACAATTCTGGCTATTTTAATACTTATTAGAATATGAAAATGAATTTAAATTACTAAAAAAACTATTTGAGTTTCATCATAGTATTTAATACCTCCAATTAAAAGTATAAATTAAACTATACAAATAATAAAAGTCATATAAATTATAGCTTATTGCTAAAGTAAAGAAATATTTATATTTGAATTTTTTATATATATTATTTTAAATAAACATATTATTAAGCAAGATAATATAAAAATAGAAAAACCTGTCATAATTAAATATTTATTGTTTTTCTTGAATGAATCCTATAAAAAAAATATAGACATAATTATTAAAAGGAGATTATTTTATATTAATTAATTATTTAATAAATAAATATATTTTTATAAAAGCAGTTTATTATTTAATTAGTTTTATGATTTTTAATTATTAATTACGCTTTCTGTACTTATTTATTAATTTATATTTATATGCTAGTCTTATTATTTTGATTCATTATTATCTTATTAATTTAAGTAGTAACTTCTTTTTAAAGGGCTTTTAACAAATAGTTTTAACTCATTCATCTTTAAATTTTAATTTTTTTATTTACTATTTGTTTATATTATATTTATATGATCTTTTGATTGCATTATTTTATTATAATCTAAATCTTTTTAGTTTAATGTTATTTAATTATTTTTAGTGTTTAAAACACTTGGAGCGTTTTTATTATAATATTTTTTAAACATATATTGTTTCTTAATTATTTATTTTAATATTTTTTTTTTAATTTGATGGATCAAAATATTACATTAATAATTTAATTTTAATTTTGTATAATTTTATTAAATATGTATTATTTTTATGGAATTTTTAGATTGAAAGTTAAAAAAACAATAATTATTATAAGAATGAATTAAAAAAATTATTATTTTGAATATAAATTTCGTTTTATTATTATTTATTATTATTAACATATTAATATTCAATTATAATATTTGATTTTTTAAAAATAGTTGTGATTAAAAAATTTCTATTATAATAAAAATATAATTTAAATTTCTTAATATGTAAATAAATACAAATGTAAATATTTATATATATATATATTTATTTACATTTATATATTTAAAACTAATATTTCTAAATTATAATTTTATTTATCATATTTATTTTTAAATAAATAAATAATTTTATATAAATTGTTTATATAAGAATTTAAAAAAAAAATGTTTTATATACTTTTTATTAATATATATTATTTACTGAAAATTTTTCTACTTATATCAAAATAATATACTAAATATATTTTATATTTTTTTCAATGATTATATATAAATTAGCATTTTTAATTTATAAATTTTATTAAATAATATTTTTTAATTATTTTTAAACATAATAATCTTTATTTTCTATAAATCTAAATAAGATTTATATTTATAATAAATTATATTCTTAGTTATGAATTAATTATTAATATTATATTATTATTTATTTTTTTCTATATATTTTATTTTATTTTATTTTATTTCATTTATTTATTATTATTTTGTATTTAAAATACTTTTTTTTCTAATTTAATAATTATAAATTTAAAATATTCATTAGTTTTAAATGAAAATATTACCATATTTTTTATATATATATATAATTTTTATTAAATTCATTAACAAAGCTATTTTTTAAAAAAATATTTATTTAAATTTACAAAATTATATATATTTATTAATTAAAAGATTTATTAAAGTTATTTTTATATATTTAACTATTTTTTATATATTTTTTTTTTATTATTTCAATTATTTTTTAATTTTTATAATAACTAGATTTAAATATAATTTTTTATATTTAAATAGATAAATTGCATACAATATAATATTTTTTAATTTATACTTTTATCAAATAAATGTTAGTATTTTTAGTAGTAAAAATATGATCCGAAAACTTTAGAATATTTTTTAAAGAATTTAGAATTATATTTTAAAATGAATAAAAAATTATAAAATAAGATTAAAAAATTTTATAATCAACAAAAATAAAAATATTTTAAATAATTAATTGAATAATTTTAATTTCAAATTTTAAATTATATTAAAAAATAAAATATATGATAAATTCAATATTACGAAGTCAAAAAAATAATTTAATTTAAAAAAATATAATGAATTTTTTTTCTCTATTAAAATGAAATAAAAAAAAAAAAAAAAACTAGAAATAATAATAAGGATAATAATAATAATAATAATAATAATAATAATAATAATAATAATAATAATAATAATAATAATAATAATAAAAAAAATAATAACATTTTTTTATTTAAATTTTTTAAAAATAGAATAATGAAAAACAAAAATTAATATCAATTTTAAAGTTATCCGCAATTAGAGATATAGCATTTTACTTTAGTTTTTCCATTTTAAGATCCTTATTATTCTAATGCATTAATAATTTCTTATCCTTCAATAGCTTCACCGAAAACAACGTGTTTTCCATCTAACCAGGGACATGCTACAGTTGTAATGAAGAATTAAGAGCCATTAGTGTTAGGACCAGCATTAGCCATAGATAAAAGGTAAGGCTTAGTGTGTTTCAATATGAAGTTTTCATCTGCAAATTTTTCACCATAGATAGATTTTCCACCAGTTCCGTTTCCAGCAGTAAAATCACCTCCTTAAATCATAAATTAAGGTATAATTCTATGGAAACCACATCCTTTGTAGCCAAATCCTTTTTCTCCAGTGCATAAAATTCTGAAATTATCAGATGTTTTAGGGGTTTAGTCAGATAATTAAAATACAATTCTTCCTTTTTCTTATCCATCTATGTTAATATCAAAAAATACTTTAGACATTTTTTTTTTTTTATTATTATTAGATATTTTTTTATTATTAATAAATTTATATAAATAAATATTTTATTTTTAGTTTATATTAAAATTTATATTTATATATCTTATTATTTTTATTTTAATATAACATAAAATTATTTATATAAATAAAAATATATTTAATATATATAATTATAAATTATTTCCTCTTAAAAAATATTTAATATTTAAATTAATTTTTTTTATTATATTATTATATTATTTAAATATCTTTCATTATATAATTATTTAATTTAATAATTTTATTTAAATAATTTTTAGATATTTAATATAATTTAATTTTTATCATTTTTAATTATATCTAATTTATTTTTTATAAATAGATATATATATTTATTTTATTTTAATTTTTTGTTCTCGATATATTATAAAATATAATTTTTTAAAATTTTACTATATATTAATTTTAAAATAATTTAAATACAATTATTTAAATATAATTCAATTTAAAATATTATTATATATTTTTATTAAAAAAAATTAACATAATATTTTATATTTAAATTTTTTAATTTAAACTTTTAATTTTTATAAAGCAAATCTATAATATACATAATATATATATTATATAAAGATTTAAATTATTTGAATTTGATTAATTTTTAGTATTTAATTTATACCATAATTAAAAACATATATATTATTTATTTGTTATAATAATTTTTTTATAATATAATATATAAAAAAGGTAAGTAAAGAATAAAATAATGGATAACTAAATTATATTAATAATGAATTAAATTTTTACAAATTTATAATTTTAAGACCCCATTAATTAATAACCTTATATAGCCTATCTTTTTCATACATATGATTTAAACAAAAGTGATAGAATAAACTTTTAAGAATTTAAATAGTTTATAAGTAATAATTATCATTTTAAATTAGAAGACTCATTAATTAAAACACTTTTTTAATTATTTGATAAAAATAATAGTGGTGGAATAACATTTAATGAATTTTATTATACATTATCCTAGTTATTAAATATATGTTAATCTACTCAATAATAATAATATAATCAAATGATGTATAATTAAGTATAAATATAATAGTAGTATTAGAATAACTATTATAATAATTTTTAATAATAAAATAACATATAATTAAATAATCTAAATAATCCTATGGTCGAAAATACTTAGTAGCAAATTGAAACTGTTTAAAATTAATATAACAATTAAGTTTAAAATTAAAAAGATCCATGGGATTAACTGCTTCAAAAATTAAAATAGTTAAAATAAATGCATTTAAATAAACAAATAAACATAAATAATTTAAAATAAATATATGGAGGAAATGATTGTATTTAATTTGAGTAATTATTGTAATATTTAGGTTAAAATAAAATTATGCTAGATACTGAAGAATAGGATATTTTAGCTATTGCTTTATTCACAGAAAGAAATAAATATTTATACATTAAAGAGTTTATAGATTTCATGAATATAAATGAAAATCCACATAAAAAAATTGATTAAATAAATAATCCTATTGAAGATAATAAAGATATAAAATCTATTAATTATAATAAATATCCAGATATAAGAAAAAATGGTTTTGATAAATAAATAAACTTAGATTAATAAAAAATTGATAAAAAATAAGAGAATAAAGAAGTAAAAATATATAGTTAAAACTATAACAATTAAAATATAAATTAAATAATTATATAGCAAGATAATAATTATTAAATTAATAATAATAATAATAATAATAATAATAATAATAATAATAATAATAATAATAATAATAATAATTTATACTTAAAGTAATAATAATAAAACAACTAATATTTATAAAACTATTAGCTTTTATCGTCTACATTATAATCTAATTAAATTTGTGAACCTCATCCTAATATAATAGGCCTTGAATATTTTATAAAAAATCTTAATACTTTAAAATAAAGTAATTCTCAATAATTTACTGATATTTAATTTCCTCCTTGTGGTGATTCAATCATTACAGATAAAACTTATCCAAGATATAGTTAGTGGTAAAAGTTAGAAGTAAAAGCATATATATAAATATATATATATAAATATATATATATATATATATATATATATATTTATAATATATTTTTATATATATATATATTTTTGGATTTTAAATAATTAGTGGAAAAGACCTTCTCAATTTTTCGATAATAATACATATCATATATTTTCAAAAACCTAAGCAATATATTCAAGTAGAATCGGATTAGGAAAATTAATATCTCCATACGATATTAAATAAGGAGCTTTAGGTGATTGTTATTTTCTAGCTTCATTATCAAGTTTAGCACAATAACCTCAACGAATTTTGGAATTATTTATAACTCGAATAGTAAATAATTATGGTATTTATTGTGTAAAGATATGTTACGATGGCGAATGGTAGGCTGTTACTTTAGATGATTTAATTCCTTGTAAAGATAATAAACCAATATTTACAAAATCAAATGGAATAAATGAATTATGGGTTCTTTTGTTAGAAAAAGCTTATGCAAAATTATTTAAAAATTATTATAATATCGAAAGTGGATATTGTAGAGAAGCTTTAAGAGATTTAACAGGTGCTCCTACAATTTGTGAAATGACAAGGGACGAAAATGGAGAAGTAAATTAGGATTTAATAAAAAGAATAAAAGAATCTGTAGAAGATAAAAATAATAATTTTATTATCACTGCAGGAGCAAATGATGAAGATGAACTTTCTTAATCAAAAGCAAATAGATTAGGCTTAGTTTAATCACATGCATATAGTATTATATCGTAAAAAAATATATATTTATATTTATATATATATATATATATATATATATATATATATATATATATATATATTTATATATATTTTTAGTATCAAAGATATTATACACAGAACTTTGGGAAAAATTACATTAATAAAATTACGAAATCCTTGGGCTAAAAAAGAATGGAATGGAGATTTTTCAGACTCTAGTAATTTATGGTACTAAGAGTTGAAAGAATAACTTAGAGTACATGCCACTGATGATGGTGTTTTTTTTATGAGGCTGGATGATTTTTTCAAGTATTTTTCTGATGTTTGTTTTTGTTATTTACATGAGAATTTTCTTTATTCAAGTTTTAAAGTCGAAAATTCAAACAATAAAAACTCTAAACTTTTTGAAGTTCAAGTTTAAAAATAGGGTGTTTACTATTTTTCTATAGTTTAGAAAAGTAAAAGAAATTTCTTTGATTAGATGGATATTTAATATTCTCCTAGTAGGATTTTAGTATCTAAATAGGAAGGTATAGGTAAATATAGTTTCGTTGATTCTCTTCTTAAAAGAGACAGGGATACTTATATTAAATGCGAGTTAAAGCCGGGCACATATATTGTTTAATGTAAAGTTTTTTGGAATTAAAGTATTACAACTTAGTATGTTTTTAGTTCATATGGTGTTGATTAGGTCTATATTAAACCTATTAGTAAAACCAAAGTGCCTAATTTGGTTGAATAATGTCTAATTTAAGTCGCAAAGGGGTCAAAATAGTTAAAATCAGTAAGAAATGTAAATAATGTGATGAAATGTTCGGATATTGATATAAAAAAAGGATTTGGATTTTATTATATTTAAAATAATTCTAATATACCATTTGATGTTATTATTACTTATATAAAACATTAAGGACTTAAAATGAAAAAACCAAATAAATTTCCAATACTTAAATTATGTATAATACCATAAAGTGAATTTATTGCACCTATTACAGTAGATAGAAAAGGATATAGCTATTCTATTTAGGAAGATTATAAAATATGAATATTTTTATTTTATATTATAAAAATTAATGTTTTTTTGTAATTGATTTTTTTTTATCTTTTTTTGACTTTTCTAAAAAATATAAATAAAAAATTTTAATAAAAAAATAGTTTTAAAATAAAAACAGTAATATTGCCATTATTTTAAAAATTTTAAAATCTAAGAAATTATTATTATAGAGATAAAAATATAAAAATATAGAAACTAAATAATAATAATAATTTTTTCTATTTTAATTTTAAAAAAATAATAATAAAAAAAGAAAATACTAAATTTTTTTTTATTTTATTTAAATATATAATATATTTATATTTATATTTATATTTATATTTATATTTATATTTTTTTTCATATATAAATTTTTTTGTATATATTATTTTCAATATATTTAAAATATTAATTTATTATATATAACATTATTATATTTTTTTTTTGTTAATATATTATAAATATTATATATTTTAATAAATTATATTAATATATTTTTTTTTTATTAATTGTGTATATAGTAAAAAATAATTTACTATTTAACAAATTGTAATTTTTTATTTATATTATTATTATATTATTTTATAAAAATTTTTATTTATATATTTTTAGTATATTTTTCGCAAACACTTTAACATATTTAAATAAATGAATTTATAAATTTAATTGTTTTAATTTTCTATTTATAATTTAAATGTATATTTTATTATAATTTTTAATAAAATAATTGATATTTTATTTTACTATTTCAATTAAATAATTATTATTTAACTATTATTTTTTAATTTATAATAAAAAATAACATTAAAATTACAATATATTTCTTTTATTATTTAAATAAAATTTATCACATCAATAAATGATTGAAAATTAACTTGAAATCTTAAATTAAACCAATAATAATTAATAACTTAGCATCCATTAAAATTAAATAGCTTAAATGTTTATTAAAAAGCTTTAATATGCAACTTAACCCTTCAAAAATTATTAATAATTATTAAGAAAAGAATAAATAGATTTTTCAAACGAAACTGATTAACAAGTAAAAATAAAAAAAAATGATTTAATTTTTAATTATATTTATAATATATTTTAAAAAAATTAGGTTTTAATTCATATACTTAAAAAATAAACTATCAAAACAAAAAATGAATAAAACTTTTTAATGAATGCTATATATGGGCTTCATATGTTTTAAAAAAATAAACGAATGCTTGAAATTAAAGTTTGTAATAGTAAACTATTAGAAAACTTGAAAATTTAATATATTCCAGAAAGAAAAGTATTATTTAATTATGGTAAAAAAAAATAAAAAAAAATAAGCAATATATATCTTTTATTTAATAAAAGGTGACTTTGGATTTACTTTTTACATAGTTATATAAGGAGAATTAGATTTATTAATGCCAAATATTATAAAAGATGAAAGTTTTGATAGTTACCCAAAGGAAAATAATAACAATATCAAATAAAATTAAAGTAAATGGTAATTTTTAAAATCTAAATTTGTTCCTTTGTAAGATGAAATCGAATAAACTGTATTATCTTAAGAAAACGAAAAGTATATTAATTATTTTTATAAAGAAAATTAAGTATAATATATATATATATATAATATATAAAAAGTACAACAAAAATATATGAAACATACGAAGAATATTTAAAAAGACTATTCCCAAATATGAGTTATGTAAAAACTTTTACTGCAGGAGAATCTTTTGGTGAAATAGCTATATTAAAAGGATAAAGAAGGTGATTTTTTTAAAATAAATATAATAAAAAATAAAAAAATATATAAAGAGCGGGTACTATAGTATGTAAAAAAGGAGGCTATTTAATGACTTTAAATAAAGAAAGTTTCGACTTAATATTGGCTGAATATCATAATAATTTATTAAAATAGAAAGTTGAATTTTTAAAATCTTATTTTTTCTTTAAGACAATACCAGATCCTAAACTTTTAAATATTTTAAATTTAATCAAAGTTGTAAATTATAAAAACAAAAATATAGTATATTAAGAAGGAGATTTGAGCCGTTTTGTGTATTTTATAAAAGAAGGAGAAGTCGAAATATCACAAATATATAATGAAAATTAAACAAAAGATGAATAAAAAAAAGATTCATAGGATAAAGATGAACTTGAGGCTATTAAATTTTAAAAAAATGTCAATAAAAATAAAAGAATTGCTATTAGTTTAATTGGAACTAATTCTTATTTTGGAGAAGAAGAAATACTTAATTAAATTCCTTTAAGATAATAATAAGCTATATGTGTTAGTGAAAATGCTGAAATTTACTTATTGAAAAAAGATGTAATTTTTTTATATTAAATATAAATTAAATATAATCATAAAATAATTAAAGAATCTATTTAGTTTAACAAGAGGATATGGTGTGATATAAAAATTATAAGAAGAATTATAAATAAAAGGCGAATGGTAAAAAAAAAGGAAAGCTAAAGTAGCTCTTACAAGATAATCTACAAAAATAGAATTAGATAAATAAATAAAGTAATTAGTTAATAAATAATTTATGTCATAAAAAAGTATACCTGATAGCTATTCAAAAGAAAATATTATTTTAATAGATTAAAATTATAAAATAAAAAAAACATAAATAATTAAAAATAATAATAATAATAATAATAATAATAATAATAATAATAATAATTTTAAAAGATATTAGAAAAGGTATTATATTTAACAAATCAAGTTCTTAAAGTTTCAATTAATATGCTTTTAGTGATAGTAATATACCGAATTTACAATTCTCATAATAGGAAATACCTTATCAAAATAATAATATATAAGAAAAAATACACATAAAGTTAAATAAAATCAGAAAATTATCAAATATTGATAACAGATATGGAAATTATGTTGAATATCCTTTAGAAAAAAATAGTGTTTCTTCTAATGATATTTTTAATTAAAATAATAATAAAGAATCAGTGTGTTTTCAGTTTTCTTAGAATACTCAAATATAATAAATTTATTAATAAATTTAATATAAAACTTAAGTTTTGTAATAATTAAATAATGATAATAAATTATAAGGATAAAAAAAAAAAATGTTTTATTAAACTATATTTTTTAATAATTAGATTAAAAAAAAAAATCAATTAATAGATTTAAAGTGAGAAAAAGTGCTGTTTCATTGAATAATTTTAAAAGCCAATAAGCTTCTTCAGGTTAAGATTTTTAAAAAAAAATTCTAAATGATAGAAAAAATGAATTTAAAAATTATTTTAAAAAAATTAAATTTAATATTCTTATTAAGATAGTAATTAATCACTAGAATAAGATATTAATAGTAATAATATTATTTCAAATAAAAATAATGTTTAAGATATAAATAATAATAAATAAAATAACTTAAATAATAGTAGTAGGAATTTTAATAAAAACAATAACAAAATTAATAATACTTTTAGTATTAATTATAATACTAATAATAATGTTTTGAAAGCTAAAAGCTAAACATTACATAATATTTAATAAATATAAACTAATACGAAATAATTAAATGTTTAAGGAATTACTTTTTTTAATCCATAATATATTGCTCCTTTGGATATTTTATAAGAAGTTTCGGAAAATAATTCACCAGTTAAAACAGAAAAAAAAAATTCATAATAAATCTTAAAGTCTTTAAATTTAATATAAAAAAGAAATACTTATTATGATGGAAGTTAAAGTTTAGTTAGAAAAAAAAGTAATTCAAAATTTAAAGATAATTCATAATTTTGATAACAAAATTAATATTAAGCATTATAAAATTATATATATAAATTTATAGCATAAACACATTTACAATAAAACATAAAATAAAAAAAGAAAAAATTCATAGATTTAAAAACAGAATAAAGAATGCAAATATTTTTTTTTAAATAATAAAATTACAAAACAATTTCATATATTTTATAAAAATTAGATATATTTTTTTATTATTATTTGTTTAAAATAATTATATTAAAATTTATTAAATATTATATAATTTTTTATTTGTTTATATTTTATTTATATACTATGATTAAACATTTTTTAAAATCAAATTAACTAAAAGTAAAATTTGATTTAAAATTATTATGTTAGAATAAATTAAAAATACTAATATTTTAATTTAATAAAATACAAATGAAAAAATGAATTTTATTAAGTTAAATAATAAAAATTAGCATCAAAAATGGTAAAAAATAAAATTATAATAAATAATATATAAAATTAATTATTTATAATTATTATGTTAAATGAAAAAAACATAATAACTAATCATATTAATTTTAAATTAAATATAATATATAAGTTTATAATAAAAAAATAATATATTAAAGTAAATTATGATAATTAGAAATTATAAAAATATTTGTTCTATATAAATTTAATCTTAAATAAAATATTAAATATTGACATAAATAATATAATATATTATTAGTATATAATTAAAATTTATAATAAATGTTATAAATAAATATAATAATTTATAGAACAATATAAATTTATATATATATATATAATATATATATATATATATATATATATATATATATTTATAAATCTTATAATTTTAAACAATTTTATTTAAATTTAACAGAATATTTTTAAATTTCTAAATATATTCTTTTTAATTTTTATTTTAATAAATGTTTAATAATCTTATTTAGTTAAAAAATAAATATTATTTAATATATTTTTATATTTCTTTTTAATTTTTAACAATATTTTATCATTTTTTTTCAAAAATAATTAATTGAGTAAAATAAATATATATAATAAGATATATTATATAATAAACAAAAATAATAATAAAAATAACATATTTAAAATGCAAATATATAATATTTTATACAATATAATACAAACAATATTTTTTCATAAAAAGAGCCTTAAAATTGAAAAAAAAGGTTATTTAACTATTTAAATAACATTTTAAATAAAACCTTATGTTTATTCTGCTCCATTTAAAAATAAAACATAAACATAAGCATTAAAAGGTTTCCCTTCAATATTATCGTAATGATTTTTTTTTTCAATTATTTTTATAAACCCATTTTTTTCATAAAACTTAGCACCACTTTAATTATAAGTAACTATATGTAAATATATATACTCTACTTATTAAGAATTTTCATATGTTTATTTCAAATAATTCATCATTTTTGACGCTATTCCCATTTTTCTTACTTCATTTATTACTCCTAATGTAGTTATATATATACTTAAATAATTATTCAATAAATATTTATATTTGAATTTCAATATTTTTAGCTTTGCTTGTTTACACATATATAGTAAACATCCGACTATTATTTTATTCCCTTATGTAATATTTAATTCAGCTATTATACATTTAATTGTTCCTTTTACCATACCATTGTAATATTCATCACTGTAAGGGAGTGGAAACCATTCCTTGTGTAAAATCTTTATTTATTCAATGTCTTCAATGCTTACATTTTCCCTCAGGGTTATTTTATAGTGTTTTTTTAAGTCTATTTTTTCTAGTTTTTAATGTATTTGTGATATTTTAGTGTTGTTGCTTTTGGAATCTGGGGGAAATGCATCTGATAATCTAACCATTTTTTTGTATTAATTATTTTTGATATATTATAGTTAAAAATAAAAAATTAATTTAAAATTTTATTAATTTCTTTTGTAAAAAAATAATAAATAAAAAAAAAGAATAAAATAATTTACTATAATATTATATATTATAAAATAAATTGGATATTTTTTTTTATTTTTTTTCTATATATAAAATAAAATGAAAATAATATCTTCTCATTTAAGATGTTAAAAACAAAATATTACTCTATGATAAGGATATTTTTATCTTAATTATTTTAATATAGGTTTAATATTATGATGTTTATTCTTAATTATTACTTTTAATATATGAGTTAAATTATTTAATAAGAAGTTATATTAATCATAAAACCAAAATGTAATGCTTATTCCATAATCTTTTTATCTACAATAATTAATTTATTAATTCATTTTCCCTATATTGAAATTTTTTCTTTATCTTAAATAAAATAAATACTAATCAATATGATTTTATATAATATTTGTTTTATTAATAATTTTAAAAATTAAAAATAAATATATTATTAGTAAAAATAAAATTGTTAATATTAAACTTTGAAAAAATATAATTTAAAATTATTATTGAAGATATTGCTTTTTAAAAAAATATTTAAATTTTGCTTTATATATATTCTAATAAAATGATTAGTCTTTTTTTTATTAGTAAAAATATTAATACAAAAATTAATCAATTAAATAATATAAATATTTTTATATTAATTTTTATTATTTTAAATTAAAATAATTTTAATATATTTAATTTATAACGTGAATTAATAAAGTATGATAAAATATTAATATTATAATATATATCAATATATAATTTTTTTTATTTAATTTAATTTTTTTAATAATGATAAATATTTTAGTTTTTAAAATAAAAAATATATAAATAAAAAAGATTTTTTTTTTTTTTTTTTAAATTTTAAATGTCTAAAATAAATTGATTTTTTTCAAAAAATATTATTTAATTTATTTTCCTTTATAATCTTAATATATTTTTAAAAAAATTAACATTATTTGATGTATATTTTAAAAATAAAAATAAACAAATAAAAAAAATATTTCTTAAATGGAATATTTTACTTTTGAATAAATATCTTTTAATAAATTTTATTTTAGAAATTTTAATTTAGAAATTTTAATTTATAAAAAAGGTTATAAAAATTTGAAGTAAAATTAAGATATTTTTTTAAAAAATAAAAAATAGATAATCCCTTTTATAAATATTTAAAATTCTTAATTTTGCTTAACATTAATTAAGAGCTTAAAAAAATTAATATATATATATATAGACCCCTACCCCTTTTTATTTAATATATATAGATAGAATAAAATTTAAAGAAAAATAAAAAAAAAATAAAAAAAAAAATACATATTAATTAATTAAGACAAATACAATGGTGGGGGTTAATCGAAAAAAATAAAAATTAATTTATTTTTTTTTTTAAAAAAAAAAAAAAATTAAAAAAAAAAAAAATTAAAATTAATAAATAAATGGGAAACTTAAACAATTGTTGTAAACCAGATACCTAAAAGTTAAATGAAGCTAAAAAAAGCTAAAAAACATAATCTTAAAAAAAATAATAATACATCTTACCTCGTTATAAAATAAATACATCTGATTTTATATATAATAGAAATTCCAATTTAGATTCTAATTTAAATTAAGAAAAATAAATAAATACTTAAGGCTTTTTTTCAATGAATGAAGACTAGAATATAATGTAAATATTTTCTGAAATAAATACTTAAGAGGAAACTCTAAAAATAATAAATAATAAATAATGCTCGCAATAATATTAAATATCAATAAAAGATTTTTAAATAAAAGAAAAACTTTCATCTTCAAAATAAAGCAAAGTTTATTTATGTGAGAAATAAGGAGTTTTATACATTATTAAAGTCATAAAAAAATCCAATATATAATATGATAATTAAATCAAAAATATTTCTAGGGAAAAAGAAATTCTTTAAAAACTAAATAGTCCACACACTGTGAGATTAGAGTTTTCTTTTACAGATGAAAAATATATTTATTTAGTAACTAATTTCAAAATGAATGGAAATTTGAGAGATTTTTCAGTTAATAATAATCTTAGTTTACTTTAAATTTAAAAAATTATTGCCTAAATAACTCTTTGTATTAATTAATTACATTCAAATAATATACTATATAGAGCTTTGTAGTTAGAAAATGTACTTTTTGATGAATTAAATAACGTATGTTTATGTGATTTTGGTAATTCTAAAATTATCTCAAATGAAAAGGAGATTAATAATAGCTTTTTGTTAGATTTGGAAGATGAGAATTAATCACCGGAATAAATTGAGAGAAAAAATCATTCCTTTTAAAGCGATTATTGGTAATTAGGTATTATTTTGTATTAATTAATTTACAAAAAACATCCCTTTGAATCCAATACTATAGAAGAGTAAATTTATAATATTAAAAATGGATTCTAAAGTATAATTTTTGATACTCATTCAGAAAATATGGAACCTGTAGGAGAAGCTTTTATTGAGTTTATGAAAGGGTGCTTTTAAGTTAATCCGAAAAAAAGAATATGCAGTTTAGAAGATGTTTAAAAAAGTAAACTTTATTCTTAGTTTGATTTCAATAGGGTTATTAAAGAGTATGAATATTAAGAAGAAATTTACAATTAAAATTATTTATCATTAGATAATCTTGATTTCAAATTTAAAGATGAAGCATCTCCAAATGCCAGTGATAATATTTCAAATTAAATTACATTAATAATGTGAATATTTATTTATTTATATGTATATAATTTACTAATATATTAATACAATTTAATTTTTCCATATTTGTTTTGATTTTTATTTAAGAAAGATTAATTATAATTTTATTATTAATTATATTTAATTAGATAAAATATAGTAATTTTATAAAATTTGATTTAAATATGATAATATTTTATAGATAAAGTTTATCTTTTATAAATAAATTCAAATTAATTTATAAAAAATATAAAAAAATAAAAATATAGTTTATTTTTTAATTATAATATATATTATAAAAAAATAAGGAATGTATTTAATTGAATTATATTAAACATTATAAAATGTAATAAAAAAAAATATACAAATAAAATTTAATTTTATATATTAAAAAAAATAAAAATAAAATTAATAAAATGCAAAAAAAAAATAAAAAAATTTAATGAATATAATAATAATTTGAAAAATAAAATCAATATAATAAAATATTAATTTCAAATAATAAATATATTTAAATTGATATTAATAAAAAATAAAAAAGATAATTATTAAAAAATTAAATATTAATAAAATTAAAAAAAAAAAAAAAAATTAAATAAATAAAAAAATACTATATTATATAAAAAAATATATATATATATATATATATATTATTTATCTATTTTTTTATAAATTTATTTAAATTAATAAATATTTATATATTTCATATTATTTTTTATTTCATATTTATTATTTATTTATTTTATGTATTATTTTTTATAATTATGAATTTTTACTTTTTTTAAGTTAAAATTAATATATTTTATATTACTTATTTAATAAGATATTTAAAATAAAATTAATAATTATAAAATGAAAAAAATTAAAGATTAATTTTAAAATACTATTACACATTATTGGAAAATATACAAAACTGACTAAATTTAACGATTATATTAAAAAGGAAAATATGAAAAAATTGCTTCTAATTTAAAAACATTTAGTTAATATAATAATATAAAAATAAATGAATATTCATTTATATTTTTTCTTATTAGTGAATAAAATAAGTCTGCGATTGATAAAATTCTTTAAAAGACATATTATAAAGCTAATATATTGTCAGATTATAATAATAATTCATAAATAACTCCTTTATCATTTTCTATTTTAAACAATATGTAAGATATGTCGGACTATTTGATTTAATAAGGAGCTAATTTACACTAAAAAAATAATGAGGGTAATACAATTTTACACATAGCATCTTTTTTAGGTAATTTAGAAGCATTAAAATTTTGTTTAGAAAAAAATGTTAATATAAATGATTAAAATAATAAAGGAGATACTGCAATTTTATATGCTATTATTAAATAAAATATAGAAATAATATAATTTTTATTAAAAAATGGAGCTAATATAACAATTAGTAATAAAGATGGATTTTATCCTATACATGAAGCAACAATTACAGGAAATATAGAAATTTTGAAATTATTGTATATATATATATATATATATATATATATATATATATATAAATATATTTTTTTTAATAAATTTATTTTATTTTTTATATTAGAATAAATAGTTTAGATTTTATTAGAAGTTAATTTCCTATATGTGATCCAGTTCATTTAGCTTCTTAATTAGATTCTGTTGAAATTTTAAGTTTTTTTATTGAAAAAGATAAACATTTAGTAAATATATAAGATAAAACATATAATTAAACGCCTTTACATTATGCTGTAAATGAAAAGAAATATGAATGTGCAAGATATTTATTAATTAATAAAGCAGATGCTAATTTAAAAGATATTCACGGAAATACGCCTTTACATTTTGCAACTCTAAATAAAGATTTAAATATGATTGGTTTATTAGAAGAATTTGGTGGAAATGCATTAATTAAAAATGATGATGGTTTAAGTTGCATTGATGTTTGTTATATTGATAAAGATATTAGGATTATTAATTATTATAAGACTTTGAATAAATATAGTTAGCATTTTATGAATTTATATTAATGAAAATAAATATTTCTTATTATTACTTATCATTTATAATATATATTTATTTTTGTTTTCATTATTATTTAATAACTAAAAATATTATAATATATATTATTTAATAAATTAAAAGCCATAATTTATTAAAACTAATAAATTAAGTTTTTTTTAAAAAAGATTCTAAATAGCTATATTAATTATGATATAATATTTAAAAATTATAAATTTTTATTAATAATAAAAATAAAATTAATAACATAATATTAATAAAATATATTTTTTTTATAATATATATAAAAATATAAAATATTATATAAATATATATATATATATTTAATATTTTAAATATATTTATATAATAAATTATTATTATATCTTTAATTTTTTTATTTTTATATTTTAAAATAATATTTATTAATTTTACTAATATTTTTTTTTATTATTTTTTTTATTTTTTAACTTTACCAAAATAACTTAAATAATAATTATTAGTAATTTCAAACCTATTAATTCTATAAAAATTAATAATTAATTTATTTTAAAAATTTATTTTTCATATATTTTCATATTAATTAAATTTCTAAAGTATTAATATTTATAATTATTCATAAAATATCTTAATTTATTTTAAAGTCTATAATTTTATTTCATATATTTATAATTTAATATATAAAATTATAGTTTAATAAAAATATTTTGTTCTTTATTATTAGGTTAAATATATTATTTTAAATTAATAATTCAGTACATATAATAATAATAAAATATGTATAAAATCTCAAAAAAATTATCATATTTTATTTTATTTAATTTAATTTTTATATATTACTTTTAAAATTCTATTTTTATTTAATTATATAATATTTTATTAAAAATAAATAATTCGAAAAATAAAAAGTCTAGAAAATTATATTAAAGCATATTTTTATTAATTTTATAAAATCTAATAGAATATTTAAAAAAACCATATCTATGTAATATTTCATCATAAATATTTATTTTTTACAAATATATAAAATTTATCTACTTTTGAAATATATAAGCTTTTTAATTTTATATAATAAAAAATTTTCTTTTTTCATAATTTTTATTATTTAATTTTTAAAATTGATTAGTTATTTTTTACGAATTAACAACCAAATTCTCTAAAAATCCAGAAAACTTTAAATTAATAAAAAAAAAAATTTAAACAGAAAATATTTTTTTAATTTTCGACTTTTTATATGAGTAAAATAATCGTTATTAGTAAAAATAAAGTTTAAGAAAAATTACAAAATACATAATAGACTTACGGTTTTTATATTTATTATTATTTTAATCTTTATTTATAAAATAATAAAATGGTACATTTATTGCTGAAAAAATATTTAAATCAAATTTTTATTTCTACTACTTTTTTTTTATTTATACTTATATTTTATATTGGTTTATAATTATTAATTGATTCTTATTTTTTTAAGAAAATTTTATTTAAAATATAACTAAAGACACTAAAAAATTAAGATTAATTAATTATTAATTAAATATAAAGTATTTTTAGAAATTAGATATATAAAAATTATTTTATAAATATAATTTTTGATAAGATATATTATATTATTTTTGAAAAAAATTGTCAATGAAATTTAGTAAAAAATGTTAAATTAAAATTAAAAAAAAAAATATAAATATAAAGAAGTTTAATTAATTTATTTTTTTAATATTAAATATATTAAGATCAAACAAATATTTAATAAAATTATGTATAAATATAAAATTTAAATTAAAATTATAATTTAATTTTTATTATTATTGTTAAAATAAAATAAAATATTAATATTTAATAAATAAATTTAATATGTGTTATATAAATAAAATTATACATATAGATCTTATATATCTATAAATTATTATGAAAATTGAAATATAGATAAATTAAAAAAAAAAAAAAATATGTAACATATAATATTACCATTTTCTAGCTTAATTATAATTATTCTAATATTATCATTTTTTATTAGTGATTTAATTGAAAGCAAAGACTCAGTAGATTTTTTAACAATAGCAAATAATTTTAACTATTAATTATAAAATAGCTAATTTTATCATTTTATCACTTCATTATTTTCACATTCTAACATATTTTAATTAATTCTAAGTTTATATCTGATATATACAGAAAGCATGGTATTTGAAAAATTAATAGGTAGTACAACATATATGCTTTTATTTATTTACAAATGTATAATAATATAATCCACATGTTTTATTTTTTATTTGGTAATGGAGACTATAATATAAGTTAATATTTAAGTCTATTTGAATTAACTATTATAAGGCACTTGGACAATTATTTTAAGTGATTTAATTTCAAGAAGTTTTTCTAGTCCGGATGAGAAAAGATGCTTTAAATTTTTATTAAATAAATATTATGCATTGATTTTAACTTTTCTAAGTATATGTATTTCTGGATTTACTATAAATTTTATTATTATAGTTTTAGTTGCTTTTATAGAATATAAATTTTTCAATGGTATGCTTTTAAGACCATATAAACATCATATTTAGTTAGTGGAAAAATATTTCTTTTGTATAGGAAAGATTAAAATAGTATCAAAATTATCTTTTGTATCAGTTGAGGATTGTAATGAAATGTTTTTTAAATAAAAAAATTATGATAATTATTTACAAACATCTTAACCTTAACTAGAAAATAATTTAAAAGGAGAAAATTATATGCCTTAGAATTATTATAGTATTTCTAAAAATGATACTTAGTCAGTTTTAGATGAATATGATTAAAATTTAAAAAATGAAGTGGAAGATACAATATAAAAAAAGAAATAAATAGAAATATGATGATAATTTTTTATTAATTATTTATTATTAATATATGTATATATATATTTATATATATATATATATAAATAAAAATATTTATTTATTGTTATTTTATATTTTTTTTTATTATTTATTTGGGTTTATTCAATATCAATTTAATATTAGCATATATATATATATATATTTTATAGCATATTTTATCTTTTCTTATTTTTTAAATCCTATATATTTATAAAAAATATTAAAATATTTTTTATTACTTAATATTTTTATAATATATAAAACATTGTTTTTATTATCATTTATTGTGCTTTTGTAAAATCTATTTAATTTATTTATTATCTGTACTCTTTATCGCTTCCTTAATTATTTTTTAAGGCCATTGATAATTATCAAGTAAATATTAGACAACTTATATATGTCCCCATCTATATTTATTTATTAAAATAAAAATAAATATTTTTTTTGTAGATTCTGTAATTATAATTAAATAATATTTAAAGTAATATATATATATATATTAAAATTGTTTAAAATTATTATAAATAAATAAAAATATTTATATTTATATATATATATATAATTTTTATTCATTTTTTCTATATTACCTGCATGCTACTGAAAGGGTATAATCATATATATTTTCACTTTAATTTATTTTAGATATTATAAATGGATTTACGTTATATTTCTTAAGAATTTTTAAAACCTTTTCTTTATTTAAATAAAATATAATGTATTATTTATATACTTTTAAATTTCCATTTTTTGCTGCCGAATAAATTGGAGTTTTACCAAATTAATCATAATGATTTTATCTTCTTTCAGGATTATTATCCTCTAATAAATATCTATTTTTTATTTGTAAATTTAATAAATTATTATTTATATTCTTTTATACTTTTTAGGATCGTTTTGTAAATATTTTTCGATGAATGTAATATCTTCTTTTGATCCATTTTAAATACATTCGAAAAATTATGCTTTTTATCTTATGTTTTCAAAGGCCTTTTATTTTTCTTTTTGAGCCTATATATTTATATTACTAAATAAAAAAAAAATATTTAAAAAAATAATTTTTTAGTTTTGTTTATTTTTTATTAGTTATTAAAAAAAATGTAATTGAAAATATTTTTATTTTGTAATTTTTTTTTTTTTTTCTTTAATTATATATTTACTTCATGGATTGCCTCTTATTTCAATTTATCTAATAATTTTTAAATATTTTCTGATTTTTTTTATTAATTTTATTCTAAATTTTCTGATTTACTAATAAGATTAGGAAAATGATTATCCCAAATAATTTCATTCTAATTTTTTTTTTATTCGATTAATTATTATATATTATTTTTAAAAAATATATTACTGGAGAGTTTATTTAAATAACTTCTTATTATTAAAATAGCTGTATTGATTTAAATATATTTTATAATTTTAGCCATTTCTTTTTACCAGCAGATTAAGGTTATTAAATATTATAATCTTATTAATTATTATTATTTTTTTATTAAAAATTATCTGAAGAAGAACGTCTTTATCTATTTGAAAAACGATTAATACTATCGATACTTAATTTATATAAAATTTTATCAAATAAATTATAATCAAAGTTTATATTTTTATTTTATAATTAAATAATTATTAAATATCAGTTTAAAAAAGTATTAAAAATTTAATTTTTATATGTTATTAATTGTAGTTTTACCTTCTATTTTTTTAATTTTAAGTTATATTAGCTTACATTTTATAAAACTTAACTTTATTATAATTTTTGATCAAAATTTGACATTATATCTATTTATAAGTTTAAATAAAAGCTATGATATTATTATAATATAATTATTTTATTTTTTAATTATGATCAAAAATTAATATTTATAATAGATTATAATTTTATATAAGATAAATTTAAAAAAAATTATATATTTAATATTTTTATTTATATCTATAAATTATATTTTATTTTATTTTTATTTTTATTTATTTTAAATTAGATTTTTTTTAAATATTTTATAATTTAATTAATTTATTTTTTTAAATTTTTTTTTTTATTAGATTTTTAAAAAAAAATGTCTAGAAAAAATCCGTAAATATATATATCAAATTTTTCAAGCAGGACTACTGAAGAAGATTTGGATTATGAATTTAAGAAGTTTGGAAAAATAGTTGATATTATAATGAAAAGATCATATTCGTTTATAGTTAATAAACCTACACAATATATATAAATTATATATAATATTATAATTATTTTTTTTTAATATAATACATTTATATTTATCAAAATAAATAAATAGACATATAGAGATTATCATGATGCAGAAGCTGCAATCAAAAAGATGAATAAAGTTTGTTATTATATTTTACTTATTTTTTTTTTTTATTTTTTTTTAATATATATAAAAATTATATAATAATAACTAATAATTAAATAATATTTAAAAGGCTTAAGTAGATGGAAAAGTATTGATAGTAGAACCTGCAGGATAAAAAGTATCAAGGTCTAGAGGACCTTAACCTGTTGATAGATGCTATAATTGTGGAAGAAGAGGCCATTGGTCAGAAATAATAATTCAAAATAATTATTTGTGAATTTGGCAAACAATAATTTTTTTTTGTTTGAAAATACAGGGCTAATGAATGTGATGAAAAAAGAAGAAGGTGTTATTAAATTTTTTCCTTTAAATTAAATATTTTTATATTTAAATAATTTAAGAAGATAGTAAAGTAGTTCTAGATCTAGTTCAAGAAGGTTCATTAAATTTTTTAATTTTATTTTATTTTATTTTTTTAATATAAATTTAATTAGTTAATAGATATATATTATATTTAAAACATTATTAATATAATCATATATAAAAATATATATTATTTTATATTAAATAATATATAAATATTATATAAATATTTAAAAAAATTAATAAAATAATTTATAAAATATAATATATATATATATTAATATATATATATATATATATATATATATATATATATATTTATATATTTATAAAAAAAAAGTAATAGAAAATATTCAAGAAGGTAAATTTTTTATTCTATTTAAATATGATATGATATGATATGATTTCAAAATTAAAAATAATATGATTTTTATATATAAATTAAAAATTATAATTCAAAAAATTAAAACATTACATATGAAAATTATTATACATATTTAAGAAAAAAAAGTTATACAGAAAGTAGTTCCTCAAGCTCTTCTAATTCGTCTAGAAGCGATTATTCAAGTTCTGGATCTGGATCTGATTCTGATTCTGATGGTTCTAGATCTTCAAGATCGAGATCGAGATCAAGATCAAGCTCGAAAAGGGACTAGAAAAATAAAAATAAAAGTAGTAAATAAAAAGAATAAGCTAAAGAAAAGTAAAAAGAATAAATCAAGCAAAAAGATTAATAAGAATAACAATAATAATCATAATTACAAGTTTAATAACAAGTTTAATAATAAGTTTTATAATAACAATAATAATAATAATATGATTTGTAATAAGAATAAATTAAAAACTAAGAAAATGAATTAAAAAATATTTAAAAATGAAATTTAAAACATTATTTCTAAACTATAAAAATAAAATTATTAAAATATTTAATTTTTTATTATTGAATAAATAAGATTAATAATAAACAAAAAACATATTAAATAAATAATTTTATTTTTGTTTTTATAAATAAGAATAATTTTTCTTAAAATATTTAATAATATATATTAAATTAAAAAATAAATATATATAAATAGACAAATATATTTTTTCTTTTAATATAAAAAATTAAAATATTTTATATAAATCTATTATTTATATATTTACAATATCTTAATATCTTAAAATATTTATGCGACTTTTATTTTATTTTTTTAATCAAAGTAATGATTAGATATACTATAGATTTTTTTTTTTTAATAAAAATAAAAGAAAATAAATTGATTATTTATTAGTTTTTTTTTTTTTTTATGAAATAAAAATTATATAATATTTTTTTTTTTTAATAATAAATAATGAAATAAACAAAATTTATTCTAATTATATTTAAATATGTTATTATGTATATATAAACTCAATTAATATCAATGAATTTAGTTATTTTCTTAGTTTTAACTTATATATAAATATTAATATGAAAATGAAAAAAATATTAATAATAAAATACATGAAAATTATGAATATTTAAAAATAAATTTTATTTAATTAAAATTTATTTAATAATATATCTTTAAAATCACGAGCATATATGTGTATTAATTTTCATTATATTATAAAAAAGATAGGCAATAGTTTTTTATTTTATTTAATAATAGAAATTTAAATGAAAATATATAACTTAAATGTCTTAAAAAATTCAAATAAAATGAATAAAATAAATATATTGACTTATCGGCTTTAAACATTACTTTCTATTTGAAAAAATCAATATATTAATGTAATAACACGATCTTACAAAAAAAAAAAAATTAATGAGTGAGTTTGGAGGTTGATAAATTGTGTTCTCTGAAGTTACTATTATAATGTTAAAATACAATAATTATACTTTTATTCATGATTTGGCGAATAAGTTGTATTCTTTTGATATTAAAGACGGGGATAAAAAAAATAAAGGCAAAATTCTGAAATTAATGAAATAGACAAATATATATAATAACAATAGAAAGAACAAAAATTATAGGAATAGTCATCAAAAAAAGAGAAAATTATACTTGCCGAATTTTAGATATATTTAGAAATTATGAAATAAATTTAATGAAAAGTATTTATTAAGAAAGTAAGTTCTTAATAGGAAAGAAAATAAAAATAGATTTAAATAATTAAAAGAAATAGAAATATAAAATACATATAAGTATTTATATATTAAAAAAGCAATAGATTATATGCATCATGAATTTGATATTTAGAAATTTTTTAATATATAGATAAAATTAAAAGAAATATTTTAGATAATACTTAAAAATAAAATTAATACAGAAAATATAAAGTAAATTAATATTTATTCATATAAATAATTATATAATGCATATAATGTTTCCTAAATACCATATCTAATATAAAAAAATTGATAATTAATTTAGAAACTTTTAGAAAGCTAAAGTATTTACAAAGGAATGTAAATATATGAAAAAATAAAACGTAGGGAAAATCATATAGTTAATTAATTCTTAGAATGATATATTTTTATTCGGAAATACATAAAAATCATGACATAATTATATCCTGTTACAGTGATGTTTGAGAAAAATAATTTGAAAGAGAAAAATCAGAATGAATTATATAAGTCTGTGGTAAAATAGAGTTTATTTATTATATACGAAGTGATTTTCAGTTCTTAAAATTAATAATTAAAATCTTAGATTAGATAATAAATATTTTAGATGACTTTATAAAATTAGTTAAATTAAAATAGTTTCGAAAATTAAATGGATGGGAAAAAATTTTATGTCTAATTTAAAATAATAAATGAATATTTAAAATAACTAAAATAGTATGAATAATAGTATTATTTAAAATGGTAACGATAAAATAAAAAAATGATAATTCTTCAACTAAGTAGTAAAAATTTTTAAATATAGATTTTCGTTGTAATTTATTATTTAATAATAATTCGAATAATTAGAGCTATATTAGACCATAAAATATAAATAATTTATTTGTTTATTAAATGTATTATATATATGAAAATAAATATAAATGTAGTGTATAATTATTTAAAAAACTAATATATAATTAAAATTTAAATTGAATATGAACTTAGTTTTATAAAAAGTTACTTTAGACAATTAAAAATATAGCAAAAATTAAAATTAAAATTATAATACATTCAATATAAATAATAATGTTAACTATATATATATAAATAATAATTAAAAAATTCATTTATATGTAAATAGAAATAAAAATTATTACATAATTAAATATAATAAAAAATTTTTAAAATTAAATATTATTTAATAATTTTTCATGTATATAAATAATGTATTAATATATCTATTTTAATAAATTACCTAAATAATATATATATTTATATATATATATATATATATATATATACATACATATTTATTTTTTTTATCCATATTTTTTTATAACTATAATAAAAAAATCAAATAAAATTTATTATAAAAGTAATTTTTTTTTTAATTTTAATCATTATAATTTAAAAACATATTAAATAAAAATAAGAAAAAAAAAAATTCAAAAAGAATTATTAAATTATAATTTAATTACAATAAATATGGATAATAAAAAAAATTTAAGAAAAATATCAAGAGATACAAATCAAAAAAAACAAATAGAAATATCATTTATAGACATAAATTTATTTTATAATTTACTTCAAAGAGCAGCACATCATTAATAAAAAAACAGTTTCATAATATATGATTTAGGTAATCCATAGTGTATTCCATATGAATTTTAAAATTTAATACCTATATCTCAAAATATATTAAAAGAAATACAAATAAAAGAAGAAAACATTAAATTAGAAGATATCTAATAATTATTATCATGTGAAAAAAAGGATATTTTTTCAAAGGCAAAAAGATTTTATAATTTTATAATATTTTAAGCGGAAAATAACGAGAAATAGTAAATGCTAAATTAGATTATAGTCTAAATATAAAAATAATAAAATAAAGAATATAATAATTTATTAAGTAATGGACATATTAAAATTACTGAAGATACTTTATTAAAATATATATAAGATGCAAAATATGATAATGTCGAATTTAATTAAGCTTTTAATTTTTATAAAATTTTGAAAAAAAATAAAATTTAGGAAATTCATATATTAAGAAACGAGTCAAATTCCTTCTTTAATTAATATAATTTTATGAAAAAATGTTTTCAATAATTTAATAGTATATAAATAAAAAATTATAATTAAAAAAAATATAATTTAAAATAAATATATATAATAATAATTCATTATAATATATATATAATTCATTTTATTAATAATAATATAAATATAATATTTTTAAATAAATAAATTTAATTATATATAAATATAAAAAAAAAATATATAATTATATAAATATTTTTAAATATATATATATATATATATATATATTTAAACATATTAATATATTTAAATATATTTTTTAACTATATTCAATTTAGATAGCTAAATAGTTTATCCAAATGATATTTTAAATGGAAAATTATATTATGGAAATTGGAAACATGCTGCTTCTTAAGAAGTTATAGATAATATTGGATTAACTCATATTCTTAATATGACTTCAGAAGTTGAAAATTTTTTTTAATTAAATCGTCTGTACAAAAAAAAAAACTAATATTATTTTAATTAAAAAAATAATATTATATGATATTGAAAATTAATTTAATATTAAAAAATAAAATAAAAAATAATATTTAATTATTAAAATAATTATATTAATATATCATAAATAAATAAAAATAATTATTTAATTTTATATAAATATTAATATATTAATATAAATTTAAAAGAATATAATGTTATTATATAATTTATTATATATATATATATATATATATATATATATATATATATATATATATATATATATATATATATATATTAGCTTAAATTAGCTATTTGAAAATAAGTATTGATGATGAAGATTTTACAAATATTTCTTAGCATTTTAAAGAATCATGGGAATTTATTTCTAATGCATTATAAGATAACAAAAACAAAATACTTATCCATTGTGCTTAAGGAAAATCTCGATCTGCTACTATTGTTTGTATGTATTTAATGAAAAAATTTAAATTAGGTTTTGAATATGTATTTTTATATATATATTATTTTTTATTTTAATAACTATATTAGATTTTAAGTTATGTATAAAGTAGAAGAGATGTTGCTTGTCCGAACTACGGATTTATTGAATAACTTAAATAGTTTGAAAAAAATAATTTTGAGTTTTTTTGAAAAAAACATAGAAAAAAACTTAGAAAAATAAATTTTAATAAATTATAAAATTAAAAAAATTATTTTTCCCTTTTATTTTATATTAAATACTTTAACCTTCTTAAACAAAAAAATCATTTTATTTAATTAAAATCAAAATTATTTTCATTTTAATAAATTAAATTATATAAAACAAATAATATTTTTGTTTTTAAAAGAAAAATTATTTAAATTAAATAATTATTAAATAAATTAAAATTAAAATAAAAATATAAATAATTTTCTTTTTTATCAAAAATAAAAATAAAAATTTTTCAATTAATAGACAAAATATAATAAAATAATAATAGATATTATAAAATATATACAAAAAAAAATTATTTAAAATAAAAGATTTATAATAAATATATTAAATTTAATATTTTTTTCATTTTATAGTTTTATTTTATTATATTTATTGAATTTTATGAATAGACATAATAAATTATCACAATTAAGATATTTATAATCATATAAAGTTTCTAAATACTAAATATCTATTTTACATATATAAAAAAAAAAATATTTAATATTTAAAAGATAAAATTATAATAATAATAAGTAATTATAATAGATTTATATTTTAATTAAAATTTTCTTTTTAAATATTTTTATTATAAAATATTTTAATTTTGAATTATTTCTTTGATTTTTGATTCATTTTTAATTATTTTATTATTCTTCTAAAAATAAAATTGCATTATAATATTTAATTTTAAATAAATAAATATTGAATTAATTTATAAAACAAAAATTATTTATTTGAATGTATTTTTATTAATATAATTAGATATAAATTATTGTGTGTGTGTTTTTTTTTCTTCTTTTTAATATTTATTATTTTTATAAGTAAAATAAAGAATAATATTCGAAAGTCCAAAGTTAAATATAAATACTTAAAAATATTCTCACTGTGATATAAAAGGATTTTTAACTATTTAAACAAAAAGAAATTTAATTTAATTTATTGATAAGTAGTAATAATAAAATAAACAAATATTAAACAAAAAAAGTATATAAATTCTACTATACATTGTCAATATTTATTAATTATTTTAATTTATTATTTAAATTTGTTTAATTTATAATATTCATATATTTTTTTAAAAACTTCTTGTTTTTACATATAAGCAAGTATAAAATAATAATATATATTAATATGAAATTAAATTATAATCGAGATTATAAAAAAAAAAATCAATTAGATTTTGGATAATAGCTAATAATATATAATTATTGTATTAATAAATTAGTTCAGTTAAAAGGGATAGAACATTTTAGATTTTAGATTTTAAATAAAGATTATTAAAAAAAACATGTATAAATAAATATAGATTTATATTCTAAATATAAAAAAATTATAATAATATATATTTTTTATTTAAAAAATTTATATACAAAAATTATAAACATAAAAGCAGTTAAAATAATACAGGTTATTTGAAATATTTCTAAAATATAATAATCATTATTAAATTAATAGTATTTAGCATTATTATATATTTGTAAAAAATTTATATTAATATAGAAAAATATAATATTTTATATATATATAAATAAATAGATTATATTAATATTAAGTTTTTTATTTTTTTTCAAAACAAAATTTCAAATTAAAGACTTCTATCTTAACTATATCCGATTCTCAATAAATTTGTAAAAACTTCAAGTCTAAAACTATTAATCTATTACATATTATAGCTAGTAGCATGTAAAGCCTTTCCCTATGCACATAGACTCAAATTTTTACAAAAAAACAAACAATTATCCTATGGTAAACTATTCTAAGGTACTGAAACAGATCTTCCTATATATTAATCTGCAATTTAAGCGCATTAATCTTATGGCAAATCAGTTTTATTTTACAATTCAAGTTATATATATAACCTTATTATGTTAGAAATTCGTTCATGATAAGGTAAAAAAAGTCTCATATCAGAATCATAAATTAGTATTTCTTTATCTGGAGTGTTTTTTATTTCTATTAGTATCCAGTTATTATAAGTTATTTACAAAGAAATTAAAATACGTTTAAATTTTTCGAATATATTTGATGTATTTCCCCTATATTCTTATGTGTAGTTTTTTATATTATCGTAGTTTATTGATTCCGGAATTAATTGTGACCCTGTGGGCAATAGAGAAGAAAAAAAGGATGATTTTAAGATCAGAATTTGAGAGTTTTTATATATGGGAGAGAGGTTACGTTCTGAAAAATAGTCGATTATGAAAAAAACTAGGTTTTCACTTAATATACGGCCTTCTTGTAAAGATGACAGGTCTTCATTTTTTAAAGAAATATTATAGCGCATTACTCTTATTTTGTTTGGGTCTTGTAAATTTATATTGGCGAATTCATATTTGAAGGATCGGTCATTTTCAGAGGAGAAGTTTTGTAATTAAGTACATATCTACATAGCGTTTTGGCGGAAAGTGATAAAATTTTCGAAAAGTTGTTTACTAAAATCACTGGCTTTATTGAGAACTTCGCAAATTATGTGTGGAATGAGACTATCGAGAGATTAGAGACGGCTTATCTTAGATTCTAGTGTTAAAAGGAGGTCTTTGTCGAATTTTTAAACAATTTATTGTTTGTCTTTTAGGGCTAGGATTTAATTGATTTATTGTATTATTTCGTCTATTTCATATGATAGGTTTTCTCGTTGATTTATTAAATCATCGTTTATTCTGGTTTTATATAATTTTTTGGCATATATTTCTAAACTTTATCTCATATTATTAAATTCATCTTATTTAAAATCTCTAAAATAATCAGGTGTTAACTATTTGTTTTCTATAAAATCAAATAGATCAGAAAAATCAAGATTTTAAATATTTTCTAAAAGGTTAGAGTCATTTATACAATTGGAAAATATTTAGTAATTCTATTTTAATTTTTAGTGTTTTTTGCTATATTTTTGAAAATATTCTTTTAAGCTTTTTAATTGCTTTTCTGTGTTTTCTTGGTATTTTTGAAGGATTTATATTGATGATTTTTCATGTGTTTCTAAATGATTATAGAGGGATTTGGCCTCTATTAAAAGTTGCTTTTCGCGAGTGTTTTAGATTTCTTCAAATAATTTGTGCATTATATTTTTGTTATCTTATATGTATTTTAGGTTTTTATTTTATTGTGTTTAGTTTTTTTTTTCGCTTTTTTTTTATAAAGTTTTCTTTATTTTATTTTTTTAAATATATATAATATATAAAAATGTTTTATTATTTTTTTAAAATTTATAAAAGGCTTTTTAAATTTAATATTTTATATATATATAAAAAAATAAATTGTTTAAATTTTTTTTTTTTTTAATATAAATAAAAATAAAAATTTAATAGATTTTATAATTTCAAAAAATATTTTTTTGATTTACTATAATATATATAATTTTATTTATTAAAATACTAAGATTTTTACTTAGCTACTTATTTAATAAAAATTTATTATATAAATATATTTTTTTCTTAAAAAATTATATAAATAAAAGATATCTTTTTAATTAAATGTTTTAAAAATAAAATTCTAGATTATAATTAATATAAATATTTTTTAAAAATATCTTATTAAAGTTATATTTAAATATATTTAATAAATTAATATTTATTTTTATTTATGTATCTTAATTTTAAAAGAAAATAAACAGAATTTAATATAAAAATGAAAAATTAAAATAAAGTAATAAAAAAGAATAGTAAAGAAAAAAAGTAAATATAATATTTATAATATTTATTATTAAATTTTAAATTTCAAAATAAATAAATAAATAATTAAATTAGTTTTTAACAAATCCGATAAAGCATTTTATTTAAAAAAGAAAAGATTATCAATTTATATTAATAAATATTCATAATAAATTACTATTAATTTTAGTAAAATAATTTAATTAGTATTAATATATAAATATATATATATTTTAAACAAAACAATAAAATGATTTTTATTTTTAAAATTTTATTTATCTTTTAAATTTTTAAACTGTTTAGCTTTTAAAAATGTCCTGAGACATTTTTCTAAACAAGTAATTTTTTAATAATTTTAAATATAAAATAAAAATATAACAATAATAATATTTAATAAAATAAAAATGAAAACAAGTGATATAAATTGGTTTAGCTAATACACCATAAGATACTCTTTTTATTTAAAATGTCTTATATATTCCTTCTGTAAATTATCTATTAATAAATACTGCAAATACTAATCTTACAGTATCAATAATATATTATATGAAAATGCAAACTACTTAAACTTTAGATATTATTTAAAGTTAATATATTTCATATTTTTATATTTAATTTTTTTTAATAAAAGGCGAAAATTAAATTAATTAATTGTATTTTATCAATGAAATCAATAAAATAATTTATTTTATCAAAAACAATTTATACATTGCAAATATTTATTCACTAAAAGTTGAAAAAACTTTACCTTTAACTAGAAGTAATATAGTTAATTTACATTTAATTGAAAATAATACAAAATACATTATAATTACTGAAAAAAATCAAGCTATTATTGTTTTTGATATATAAAAAGAATAAATTATATAAGTATTATATAATCGTAAATAAATATTTTTCTTTTTTATTATAAAAAAATATATTTTGTTTATTTGTTTTTAGTTAATTCATTTAATATGATTTGGTCTTAATCAGTAGTTTTAAATGACTAAAAAATCCTTATTTTTATGAATTCTTGAATTAATATTAGAGTTTATTTATTTGGTGAATCTTAATTATAAGGGTTATTAATTGAAAGTTATTTTTATTTTATTTTTATTTTTTTTATATTTTTATAGATATTAGTGAATCTTAAGATTTATAAAAATTTTATAAAATAATTAAGCATACTGATATATGCTTTTTTAATAGCTTTTTAAAAATAAATAATAGTTTTTGATTTAGAAAATTATAAAAACTTAGATATATTATATAGATTTAGTAAAATATTAAAATATATATAAAAACAATAGTTATATTTAATAAATTAACATAAAAATATAAAAAGCTGATATTCAAAGCACTTAAATAGTAAACTTTTCTATTTATAATGAAATTTTAAATAGAGAAATTATTGGATAAACCATTATTATAGGAAATGATTCTAATAATATTTATTATTATAAATTTAAATATAATAATATTAATAAAAATATTGAATTTATTTTGATTTAAAAAATAGAATATAGTCATATTGGAAGTTGGACGTATTGTAATGATTTTAATATTATATTAATGTATAGAAAAAGATTAATTATTTACTTTTATTATAATACATATATTTTTGAATAAAAAATGAGTATTTTATTTAAAATATAAAATAAAATTTAATTTTTATTTAATATAATAGTTAAAGTTAATGAATATAGTCAACCAAGATTAATATTTGAATAAAATAATTCATAATATATTTTTTACCTTCATATTTAAAATTATATTTTACTTAAAGAAAAATATTTCCTAAATATAACAAGAAATACCATTTAATTTTGAAACAAGTTTATATTTAAATTAAATATATTAAATTGAAGAAGATTAATAAAATATTTATTATTGTATATTAAAATAAACATGTGAAAAGTGAAGAAAGTTTAGCATTAATTAATTTAATAGAAAAAATGTATATATATATATATATATATAACTTTATATATATATATTATATATATATATATATATACTATTTTACTATTTTAGGTTTTATATTATAATTCTAATCATTAAAATAAAGAAACTTTATAATCAAATTAATTGAATATTTTTTATTTTTAAAATAAGTATTGGATTTTTTTAAAAGGTAATATAATTAATGATTAACGAAGTTTAGAATTTCTATAATTGGTAAATTTATAAAATGATTTGGAAGTAATTTCACTAAATTTGCCATTTTTAATTTAAAATTTGCCTAAATTAGGTTTATATAATACAAAGAGATAATTAGTTTTTGGCATGGATTTTTTTGGTAACATATATACATGGGATATAAAAGATATATAAAATGTAAAGTTTATAAAATAAACGAATTATAATTGTGAAAAAGCTTATATGGGACGATTATTTTAAAATCTTGAGATCGGAATATTCTTTTGTTAAAATTAAATTATTTAAATAGATTTTTTAAACGAACAATAATATTTTTTATTAGCAACTATAAACTAGTTTGTTGCTTGGGATATTTAAGAATAATTGGAAGGTTTATATATTTGTGATTCTGATTAAAATATTATATATGTATATTACTTAAAGGAAAGGATTTTTATTTTAAATGAATAATTTAGTTTTCCTTAAGTCTTAAATAATTATATTATCGGAATTAGGGTTTTTAAAGATAATGTATTGTGGATTTAATATGAACAAAATAATTTTTTTTATGATTTAAATGCATGCCCAAAATGTAAAAGCTGTGAATTGGAATATAATTATTAATAAGGAGATAATGTATATGGGATAATGGATTATATATTTTAAGTTAAATAATATATGAGAATATTTTAGTAATAATAAAATTTTTTTGTTAAATTTATAATTAAAATTAATAATATGGCTGTATTTAAATTTTTGGAAGGAATCGTATATTTTCAATTCTCAAAGTAAGTTTTTTTGGAAATCAAAGGGGAAGAATAATAAAAAGAAGCGAATTTTCTTTTGAATGGAATTTTTTTTAGTTTAAAATAATTTACAGGAATTAAAATTACAAATATAGTCTTTAATATTAATATAATTAAAGATTGTTAAATTTAAATTAATAATATAGGCTAAGGTAATGTTTTTTTATCTGATATTGAATTTTAGAATTAAGTAAAAGAATAAATATTTTGTAATATAATGTTAGAATAAATAAATTAAGTTTAAATATAAAATATAAAATTTGAAAATTAAAAATTTTATTAAAGCTATTTTATTTAAGTTTAAAACGTTGAGAATATCTTCTTGAAAAATATTAATTTTTTGAAATGCCAAACAGGTGAATTTTGTATATTGGAATAAAAAACATAAATAAATTTAATAATTGATACTTTAACATTGATTGAAAATATATTTAATGTAGATAATTCTGTTTAGAAAATATAAATGAGTCCTTTATTTACTTCGACTTAATTATAAATTAGAAATTTTTAAATTATACAAAATTAATTCTTTAATACTGTTATATTTGTTATAATTATTAATATTTTTTCTGATATAGAAACTTAGATAATTATAAAAATATTTAAATTATAAATAATACAATTATTAATCAAAATTCTTAGTCTTTTTTTTTAAATATGATAAATTAAAACCTCAGTGATCCTAAAAACGAGTTGATTTTGGAAGATTTTTTAATTGATAACAATATTTAATTTAAAGATATTGAAAAATAAATATTTTTATATTGATTTTGTTACATCAATATTTAAAAAATAAACTAAATTAAATTACTTAAAATTTAATATTTAAATCAGTCATATATGACTTTTATATACTTACATTATATAAATAATCTATACATATATGATTTTAAAATTGAAAATAAATCCGATTTTCATGAAACAAAATTAATAGAAAATTAAAATCCACTTTTAATAATTGAGGACGCTAAAATAATTTAATTGATAAAAATTCATATAAAAAATAAAAATATTTACAATAATAATTATATTTCTATTAAATAAATAGATTTTACAAATGTTATTTTGAAAATAATAGATTCTATATTTGAATAAATGAAAATATTTT